GAAAAACGAAAAAAAAAAAAGAAGAAGAAGAAGAAGAAGAAGAAGAAGAAGAAGAAGAAGAAGAAGAAGAAGAAGAAGAAGAAGAAGAAGAAGAATTGGCAGGTTTTTAATCTATGGAGGTGTGTTCACACTAGCCTCTGTAGGGTAAATCTCTACCCTTTTATGTTTTCCATGGAAGGGGTGGGTTCTTCTTCATCATAAGTGATTATGTTTTTTTGTTCCACAGCCCCTGCATAACTGATAAAGTCTGGTCCTTCTATCCCAAGGCCCTCTCCCCAGTGACCTGCCAGTTTTGCCAAAATGTGAAGATAAGTAAAATTCAGTTGGCCTCAAAGAGGACACAGACCAGTAGCTACAAGAAGGACCCTTGATATTTTAAATTAATATTAATCATAGCAATGATGATAACCAATACAATCTTTTTATCTTTAGTCAGTTTGGAAAACTTGTTAAATTGTTAACATGCTTTATTTCATTAGCATGTGGACTGGGAAATCCAATTTCCTATGCTGGATATCACATAACCAAACACTAAATTACAACTCTATTCTACCAAACATATTCTACCACACACACACACACACACACACACACACACACACACACACACACACACTACAGATAGATATAGATATAGATATAGATATAGATATAGATATAGATATAGATATAGATATAGATATAGATATAGATATAGATATAGATATAGATATAGATATAGATATAGATATAGATATAGATATAGATACTGTTTGGCTGCTAGCTCTGGTATTTTGGATCTCTCTAGTGATTCTTGATACTGCTTTTTGTTGTAAATATTGATCTCCTAAATCTAAGAGCTATGGATCAATTAATTCAGGGTCTATCAGTAAACTCATCTCATTTATGGAAAAGCAACAGGTAACTGCCCATTATCACCAAGGAAAATTTCAATGGTATATAAAATATTACATATCACATGTGCCAGGAATCTATCCATCATCTGTCAGATATAACCTCTTCCATATCACCTTTGATATATGGCCAGATTTTGTGCTAGAAAGAGAAAAAATGGGGTGGGGGCTTGCAAACATTCTTAGGGCCTCCATTGAGAAATGATATGGCTCATGTCTATGTGAGGTTTGATTACTTGATTTTCCTTCTTTCTTTAAGACATGGTTTCTACCACATTGCTCTTGTTGACTTAAAACTCACCGTTTAGAACAGGTTGACCTAGAACAGAATCTGCATCCTGAGTGCTAGAATTAAAGGCAAGTGCCACCATGCCTGATCATGTGTGCATGTGAGCAGAGGCATCAGAGCTACCTGAAGTTAGAGTTACAGGTAGATCTGAGCCACCTGATGTAGGTACTGTAAGCAGTACATCCTCTTAAATGCTAAGCCATCCTCAGCCCCATCCCACTATAGTTCTTTAGCTAAACTGGACATCAGTGGGATGAAAAATGAAGAGGAGGATATTATGAATTCAAATAAAACATCAGAACAGAAGGCTAGGAGAAGCAACCATCAGGGTGTCAAGACAAACTCAAGTAGAAAGGCATTGGACTTTATCCTGGCTGGATTTCTCTGTGTCTCAGTGCCTGCATGGGTAAAAGTAGGGTTAACAGCTGCCAGTTAAAATGAGGTTAACAGTGTTGCTGTGTGCTCACAGATTCAGATAAGTCTCCAAAAAGTTTAACACGTACAAAAGAAGTGGGGAAACCCAGGGCACCCTACATCTAAATGATCATTTATCATGCCATTTTTATCATACAGGATGCATAGGATGGTAAACTCAGGATACTCTGCAACTAAAAGTTCCATCATCATATCATTCTCATCTTACAATGCATAGGATGTCATGTTATCCCTAGTCCTTCCACACAGCTCTAGTTTATGAAGAGATCCTCTGACTCCAAATTCAGTAGCAAGGGTGCCAACAGGACAACTAGGCTGTGAGTGCCCCAAACTGCTCTAATTCACACTAATGTATCAGAAATTGCCTAAAACCAGCTCAGTAAAAATGCCACCACAAAGGGAGGAAGTGCCAGTCTACCAGGTCCATAAAACACTCAAGTCCAAAGAAAGTAGTTTTCAAGATGTGTGCCTGCTCCAGACACACAAGGCAAAAATGAAACGTGGTGAATTGTATCACATCTGACAGAAGGTTTTATTATCTCCCATTGATTGGTCAGGAGTTCCAACATCTCAGCAGTTTTTATGACCTCTGAAGACCAGAAGTCCTTAATGCAACAGAGCTCTGCTACCGTGGGATGAAGGTAAGAAAACCGAAAGCCTTTTGTGCCATCTTTTCCACTGGGATTCTGAGCAGACTTTTCAAGACATTCTGGACAGTACGCGTGATCTTTTTTTTTTTTTTAATTTCAAGCTAATCTTGTTCACTGTGATTTTTATAACACAGGCCATTTTTACTCATTTACTGCAGGTCACACATTCATAGTTTTTTCTAAGCTACAGTGAAACAATGCATCAGGGGTCTTTGATATCCACCACTAAGGTTGCCTAATACATGTCACTGGATGGAAATTCCTAGCTAAGGACTCAGAAAATGCCAAAAACTATGCATAACTCATAGAAGAACAGTACATGCACAAATCTGCCACCTCCCAAACTGCGCCCATTGTTTTTCCTCTTGCCACATCCCTACTGAATTCAAAGGGAAGAGGTAACACAACTCCAACTCCAAGGGAGGAACATGAGAAGTCAGACCTAGTAGCATCCCTTTCCCTTTCCAAATACAGGATGAGGGAAGTCAGGAGTAGGTTGAAGTTGATCCAGGTCTGAAAAACAAGATGGAAAGTCTTTCCATGTCTGAGAGGCATGGGCTTAGAGAATACCTTCTAGGAAGAAAGATCTTTGAATATAAGAATTTAGAATCTCACACAGAGATTTGCCCTTCAACGTGTACTTACTTGAGTTGCTATAGGGTGACATAGTGACTAGAGGTACAGATGTCAGTACCATGTAACCACAGGGATGCAAACCCAAAGATCAAGTTCAACATGTTTAAGATGGCACAGTATGCTCTAAAGATTGACATCCACTATATGTGTTCCTCAGTACTCGCTTTGGATGCCCAGCATGTGGTTCATGCATTACACACTAGAAACATCCATTACTTATATTCCTCCTTAGATGCTGGCCTGTCTCCATGAACAAGTTCTCTGGAACTACTGGACTGTCTATGATGGCAGAGACATGTCTATAGCCCCTACCCATCCCCAGGGCACCAGCACCAAGGAAGCACACTGGCCTGAAGCCAGATCTAGGAGGTGAGCTAAGCAGGAGCATTCCAAGAAAACAGTGACTCAAACCAGCAGTTGTACTGTGTAACTAATTGTTAAAAAGGGCCTCCCACAGAAAGAGCAACTTTAATACCCCAGGTCTCTCTCAGAGCCAGTTCTATGTAATAAAAAGTGGAATCAGGGGAGAAGGAATGAAAGAGTCCCAGCAAGCATTCACAGCAGCCATTCCCCCACCTTCTCCAGGGTCTCAATTGCTCATGGGACATGTGGGTGTGTTTGATCCCAGGGTCCATTGTTATGGAATCTCTGTCACTCTTATAATGGCTCAGAGTTCAGTCCAACATTTAGCAGATGGTAGGAACGAACGTAAGTCTGCCAGCTCATGACATAGCTTGGAAGTGTTTCCCATACTGGTTGCATGGGAGAATGTTCACATTGACATCTTTTCCAGCTAACTGGAAAATAGCATGAGACAAAAATGTAAAGAAATCACTTAAGGTGAACTGTTGAAATTAATTATGCTCCTCCCTAAATCAACAAATAGCTAAGAAGAAAATTCAAGGATGGATGAAAAAAATCATAATCAAAGGGGTAACTTCATTCTCCCAAGGGGCACAAATCAAGTTCAAAGCAAAAACAGCAAGCAAAAAAAAAAAAAAAAACAGAAAGATTAAAAAGAGAAAGGAAGGCCACTAGTTAGAATATTGCTAATGGCCAAGAAAGAAGGAACCAAGAAAGCCATCTAGAATAAATGAAATGACAGGGACTCCCCACCAGAACAGTCACTGGGAACCAGCAGATGCTGCTTCAAAGAACTGGATGGCTCTTTGAGCGGTCTAAGGTTAAACTGGGGTCAGCAATACAACCACAGACTAGACAAGGATTTACCCTTACTGTCGACAACCTTGAGCACCATCTGTACCTTGAGAAACTTGAACCATCTTAGAACCAAGCTACTCACATGACAGTGAATGGACACTGCCACATTTGTTCAAGTCAAGAAATCTGCTTCCCTCACAGGACACCATGGCTTGATACTTAACTAATGAAGATGAAAGGGGTGACTGAATTAGAATCAGGAGAAGCAGAAACAGCCCCATCATGACTCTGCCTCTTAGAGCGTTTCTACTCTAAGTGGAGGGACCAGAGAGAGCCTTTGAAATGGACAGGATTGGGGATTTAAAACATGGTCAGAGCAAGCCCCACCCCTCTGCCTACAAAGGAGTAGAGATGTGCAATGCTCACCATCAGCACATGAGGTGTTTCCATGCTGAGCTTGGAAAGTATGCACCCATGAAGCTTGAGGCCACATCCCTATTGTAACAGTGTCAGTTTCTGGGTCCCCATTATGAGTCCTGTCACTCAGTCCTTGGTAAAGATCAGAAAGTGACAACTGGTGGATCAACCATTAAGAAATTCAACTGGAAAAAATATTCTGCCTTCAGGAAGTGAAAGTTGGGCTTAAGCCAACTGTGACTGTCATTTGAAAAGGGAACTCATCGCCACACCCTATGACCTTGGTGATGACACTCCTTTCCAATAATTAAACAGAAAGTGCTGTGCTTGTGGCGGTCCTGGGGTTGTTGGTGTGGACACCGAGGACACTTTGTGAACTTACACACCTCTTAGTTTCTCACGTGAAGCTGCCTGGATAAAGCTTGAGAACGGGTGCCCTCACATAGCTGACTCCACTTCTGGAGCTGAAACCATACTTCTCTGCCACTTCCCCACAAGGCCTCTCCACTGGCCCCTTACCTTCACAGTATGCAGAGTTGCCCTGCACCGAGATGTATCCATTCTTGCACTCACAGGTCGCTTTTGTATTCCAGTTTTTGCACTCCGAGTTTTCTCCACACTTAGGTGCTTCTGCACAGAAGTTATGACCTACAAGACAGAAAGAATTGTATGTTGGGGAATGATAGGGGAGAAGGGCCTCCAAACAATTAAAAAAAAATGCAGTTCTGTGTATGATGTGAGGATTCACAGAAGCAGGACGAAGCTGAGTAGGAGCTATAGGGCAGGAACAAGAAACTCTGAACTGCCCTGTGTTTGAAAGAGTGTTTCCTGGTACTTTTGAGACTGCTTAAATTGCTAAGCTACTTTCTGCCTGGGGTTCAAAGCCATGCTGACTTGAGTGGTCCCATTGCTGCTTACATTGCTAGCATCTTTACAGTTATCTTAGTAGACAATGTATGATGTGTAAAAAAAGAAGGCATAATGTAAATATACGGATATAGAAGATACAGTTGATCTAATGTGAATGTTACCAGTATATATCCACTCCTGCCAGGCTGCACTACTTTATACATAGCTATGACTTTGTCATACACTAGTACTTATTTATAAACAAATACTTAGTTTTGCCCATTTTTTTTATTTTTTGAGACAGGGTTTCTCTGTGTATCTTTGGAGCCTATCCTGGCACTCGCTCTGGAGACCAGGCTGGTCTCGAACTCACAGAGATCCGCCTGCGTCTGCCTCCGAGTGCTGGGATTAAAGGCGTGTGCCACCAATGCCTGGCCCATTTTTAACCTTCCATAAGTTCAATCATACTGTACATTTCCTTTTAGATGTCTTTATTCATATTTATATACTCTAACCATACTAATAGTTATGGGTATTCATCTGTCAATGCTGTATATAGTATTTCAGGGTTATGAATTTATGTACTTTACTAAAAATCAATATTGGAGTTATTTGTATGTCTTGAAATATAAAACAGCTGCTAAAATATTAGTGAACATATCCTGGGGCACACATTTTAAAAATAATTTTAATTTGTTTTGCCCCACACCTCTCCCCAAATCCCTTCTAGCCCTTGCAGGATACTTATTGTATGTCAAGTGTCTACTAGAAATCTCTTTAGTGGGGATCCATAGGTAGTTCTGAACAATTTTAACTCAAGTCAAATTGCAAGCTGGTTGTCATGGCACATATATTGTACTCCAAGCACATGGGAAGCTGAGGCAGAAAGGATCACAAGTTCAACACCAGCCTTTACACAGCAAGACTGCTTCAATCAACCAATCAGACAATCATAGCACTATCCTCATATTTGAAAACTAATTCCATTCTGTAGAGGTCTTTGATCTCAACATGTGAAGATACGGTTCTGTTTTACAGTTTTCCTATTGTTGTTGATAACCAGTAGTCAATCTCCTTCCTGGGTGATCACCCTTCTGTCCATAAAGATTCTTAAGCTTTATCTGGCTGGCTGCTTATGAGGAGAAGGTAGCCTTTGGTTAGTTTGATTTTCTAATCTCCAATTTTACTCCGAGGTCATGAGCATGAACTTATCTTCACACTGAGGATTCTTTGGGGGCAGGGCCTGAACCTGAGTACTGAAGCACCTTTTCCTCACCCCCCCTCTCTTCTCCATTCTCTTCAGTGTTCCCTTCCAGAATTTTAATTGGGTCACATGACAGGCTATCTCCATTCTTAGATTTGCTGACATGTGATCTATATCTTTGTTTCCCTCTTTGCTGATTGCAGTGAATTCTCCATATAACTTTCAGTTCATTAATTCTCTCTTGGACTGTGTCACATTCTGCCTCAAATGGTTTTAAGTTTTGCTTATATTTTTAGTCTAGAATTCAGTGTGGTTCTTTTTAATCTGCTTGGTCAATTTGATAGCACACCATCTATTCAACTTTTAATCTTTTAAAACCATATTTACGCTGATGCTCACCTGTGCATGTGATTTTGCAGTTTGTTGTTTATGCTGAACATCATTGATAGTGGCTTATTTTCTTTCCTTTCACTGTATATGATTCTTTTCTTTTTGAGCTTATATTGCTTGAAATTGAATATGTGGGAAAAGTTCCTGGCTTGGGTTTTAGTATTTTGTTACCTCCTACCAGATGCCTGAAGGAATTATCAACACAGGATCACTTTAAATGGCATGATGTTGGGGTGAATACTGAGCCACACAGATAGGCTATCCCCTAGCTCTAAGATTTATGGACTGCCAACTTTCCTCCTGTAGACCCCACTCTAGATTCAAGAATGACAGGAAGCCTATTCTTAGGGGTTTCCTTTTCAGTATTTGAGGGAATCACCCTTTGAGATGATTCCCAGGCTGTCTCCTGTCCATTAGAAGTCATGCAGAAAACCAACAGAGATGAAAACCTGCTCTCAGGGAAAACACCAACCCCAGCATGATTCCTGATCTCAAGGGCATCACACTTCTTTAACATGGCAGCTCTCTCTCTCTAGTTATACACCTTCCTTCTACTACAAGACTGGCTAAATAAATGTAAAAAATCACATACTATATAGCATTTGGGGCTTGAATTAGGAGGCAAGGCTATATAAAAGTATAGGTCAAAGATGACCAGATATGTGAAGATACTTTGTCACCTTTAAATCTGTACATTTTCAGGATGCTAATGATTATGCTACATCACATACAACCGTCTCACAGGAAAGTGCACCTAGGGATCAAGAAACCTCATGCATAATTCAGAGTCTGCAGCTAACAAACACCGCACATTGCCTCGCCTGCCTTGGTACATACAGAAAAGATGACAGTGGAGATTTCAAAATGCTGCTAAGACCCTCAGCCAAGACAGGCTGTTACAGTGAGACCATGTCCCCTGACCCTCTCACACAGAGAACAATAACCCTTTTACATTTGCCATATGGATTATGGAAACTACAAACTCTGGTTTAAAAACTATGCAAACCCCCAGATTAGGTAAAACTACATTTTGATTCCTTTAAGTGAAAAGATTCTAGAACTGTTACTATTCAAAAACAAATTTAAATCAACAACATTCCACCAAGGAGGTAATTCTTTTTATGAAGTAATAATAATAATAATAATAATAATAATAATAATAATCCTGCACCAGTGATATGACTGTAGATGTTTTAAATAAGAGTGATTGCATTACTGACATGTTGTTGATGAATTCAATGAGCCTATTAACATAAAATACTTGAAATAGATCCTGATAGCTACTAAAGAAGTTGGTACTAGGTGCCCATTCTATTGGTTATGTTGATAGTGGTGATGATGATGCCACCATCATGGTGTTGGTTATTTTGCCAACAGTGAGAGCTAAAGTTCAAAATAACTTAATCATTACCTCATCCAGTTATGAATTCTGTGAGCTACAACACCAACCCACCAGGTAAGATGTATTCAATGGTATAATAATGGCATGGCTATTACGTGGATAACTAACTGCTTTCCATCTGGAGTAGAGAAACACTCCACCAAAAGAAAATCATACCTGACATACTAAACCTGATCATCCTTTTATCTTTATGGACTTAGTAGATACAACTAAATCAAGAACACACACACCAATAAGTAAACAAACAAGCCATTGTTCAAGTATTTATTTCACCCTTTTTAATAAGTGACTTTTGAGTCTTTGAAACAACTATGAAATTAGAAGTACAGAGTGGCGTCTTTAATTTGGAATTGGTCCAAATATCCAAAACACTTTAATTGTAAAATATGCGATTCCTTGACTTCTTCCTTCATGTCTTCTAACACATAGTTAAACATGTTACATATATTGCCTCATTAAATCTTTTCAACAACCCTAAAGATTACTGTCCTGGATTTACAAGTTAAGGAGATGTGGCAGGGAGTCTATATATCCAAGGTAAAACCATGAGTAACTTGACAGTCACAATTTGACTCTAATTGAGAAAATAATTCTCCTAACATTTAAATACCTGGGGGGAAGAAACAACCCAGCAATATCCTCTCCAGTGATGTTTATAGATTGTAATTCTTCTGGGTCTATATAATACCTGAATAACGCTAGAGAATAGGCTTAAAAACCATTTAAAAAGTTCTCCATTTAGGACCCACCTGCAGGTCTACCAATCTGTTCCCATCAGAAATTAAGTTAAATACCAAATCTTTCATGGACACATGCTGAGAGTATCACTTTTCTCCATGAGCAATGGTGAGGAAATCATAGCCCCCTCCAAGAGCATAGAAAACAATATTGACTCACTAGCATGCCTGGCTTTACTTACGTTGTATCATTATAGCAAACAGACCACTGCCCATTAATGCCCCTCTCCATTTCAGCCTCAGAGATATCTCACAGCTCATCAGCGAAAGCTGAACTTTTAATCTCATTCCCAAATTGAGTCTCACAGACTCTCCCTATCTATCTGTAGCACCTTTATCTACCCAAACAAGAGAAATGGAAGTCACATTAGCCTTTATCCCTGGAAAACTAGTTCTCTTGAGTCACATCAGTTTCATCTTTGGTGTGTATGTATGCATGCACATATGCATATATTCAAGTGTGCATGTAAGTATATGTTGCTTTGGGGAGCTGGGATCACACTCAGGGACTCTTAAGGCAAACACTCTAACGCTGAGCCATACATCAGTCCCATGTTCCATAAATATATCTTCAATTTATTTGCTTCTATTCATCTCCACAACTATAATAATGAAAACCTCTTCCCCATTCTACCATCGTCTCTCAAATGGAAACCATCTCATCTACCTTCAACCCTTTGCCTTCCTCTGATTTACTCTCCACAGTGTGACATATACCTCTCTTCCTTTCTTCCTTCCCTCCATTCAAAGTTTTGCAAGGGTGTTTTTTTTCATTTAAGAACAAAATCTTTAACATCATCTTCTCTCCATTCCTTCAACTCCTCTAGTATTTTTAAAAATTTGTAATTTGTTGTTGCTGCTACTGTTTTGTTTTTTGGGGCAGTGCCCCTTATATCCCAGGCTAACTTCAAAAACCTTATATAGCACAGAATGATCCCAAGTAGTGGGATTACAGCACCACACTCAGTCTTTGAAATGCTTGGTACTGAACTGGGAGCTTTCTGCACTCGAGGCAAGCTCTCTACCAAGGGATGTACACCCCCTCCTCTAGCATTCTCATCTTTTA